GGGGACACAGGGACATGGGGACATGGCTGGGGACAGGGACATGGGGACACCAGGACAGGGGGACAGGGACACGGGGACACCAGGACAGGGGGACAGGGACATGGGAACATGGCTGGGGACAGGGACACAGGGGTCATGGGGACACCGGGACATGGGGACATGGCTGGGGATAGGGACATGGGGAGATGGGGACACGGTTGGGGACAGGGACAGGGGGACATGGGGACAAGGACAGTAGACATAGCTGGGGACAGGGACATGGGGACAGGGCTGGGGACATGGGGACGTGGCTGGGGACAGGAACAGGGACAGGGACACGGGGACAGGGGGTGTGGGGACATGGGGTCATGCGATATGGGGACAGGGGACATGGGGACATGGCTGGGGACAGGGGCACGGGGACAGGGACACAGGGCTGGGGACATGGATGGGGACACAGGGCTGGGGACAGGGACACAGGGCTGGGGACACGAGGCTGGGGACAGGGACAGGGGGACACGGGGCTGGGGACATGGATGGGGACAGGGACACGGGGACAGGGACACAGGGCTGGGGACATGGATGGGGACACGGGAGGGGACCCGGGCCAGCGGTGACAGCCCCGTCCCCGCAGCCACCGAGGGGGACACGGGGACAGCGGCGGTGCCACCCGCGGAGGAGCCCGAGCAGGACGCGGAGGAGGCGCAGAGCCTGCAGCTGGCACGGACAGGTAATGCCGGGACACCCCCGATCCCACCAGGGCCACCCCCGGCCCTGTCCCCAAGTGTCACCTCCGCAGGGACGGGGGGATGGCCCTGCCCAGGGGAGCCTTCCCCTGCTGTCACCTCCTGTCCCCGGTGTCCCCTGGGCTGAGCCATTCCTGCCCTGGGGGGCTCTGGGTGCCACCCCCAGTGTCCTCACAGTGTCCCCACGGTGTCCCCAGTGTCCCATCCCAGTGTCCCCAGTGTCCCCAGTGTCCCCATTCCTGCCCTGGGGGGCTCTGGGTGCCACCCCCGGTGTCACCACGGTGTCCCCACGGTGTCCCCAGTGTCCCATCCCAGTGTCCCCAGTGTCCCCAGTGTCCCCATTCCTGCCCTGGGGAGCTCTGGGTGCCACCCCCGGTGTCCCCACGGTGTCCCCACAGTGTCCCCACAGTGGCCCCATGTCCCCACGGCGTCCCCACGGTGG